CCATCTATTCCAATTTTTTGTAGGGTTTTTATCACAAATGCATTTATATCAGATTAGATAGCATTCAGAAAAAATTAAAAAATCACAGAAAAATAAAGATAACCATAGAAGGCAAAATTATCCAAGAATCAGCTAAAAACAAGGGGAAAAAAGGCATAATAAAGAGACAGCTAGAATTTTTTTTTTTTATACTGGGGACCATACTGGGGACCAAACTCGGGACTTTGTGCTTGCGAGGCAGGTGGTGGAACCACTAAGCTAAACCCCTGGCCCCTAGAAATTTTAAATTTAGAAATGATGAAGGCTTAAGAGTGCCTGCCCAGCATGCACAAGGCCCTGGGTTCAATCCCCAGTACCAATAAAAAAAAAGAACTGGTGAGCCAAAAAGCCACCTTTGGATGGTGACTGGGGATTAGATACAAAAAAGAAGAGAAAAATGACTTATAAATAAAATAGGTAAGCTTGCAGACATTTTATCACTATGTTCACTGAAATGGCACAATGTTTATAACTTCTCTAAGTATAAGGCTTGCAATGAAAACTGCCCAAATTTAAAGAGATAAATGCCAAATTTTTAGAGACATGAAGAAGGCCTAATTGTGCAAGGAAACATGTTTAATTTTTTTTTAGCTGGAAAGAACTCAATTTTCAATTAAAATACCATGAACTATACCATGAACTCATTTTGCCTTTCAAACACCTACTCTCATTCACTCATATCCTCAATTTAAATGAGTTCCCCAAGCCACTAAATGACAAACTCAGAAAAGAGACTAACCTTTTTGAGAGTTCCCACATGTTTCCAGGCTGACCTATCTTCCTCACTGCATTTAACTGAAAGTGCTGCCAGAGCCTGTGTGTACAGTAGGGTAAAAAGCACCTTCACAATGCAGGTAAAGTGTTCTACAAGAGAAAAAAGACATCATTATTTCCTTGGAATATAGACATATTGTACACAAGATAATTTCACAAATATATGCCTTTCCTTGCACATGTAATTTGTTTTTGTTCAACACTTAGTTAATAAATTAAAAGTATAATGCTATATTTGCTCCCCAGTAGATGTGAAATTATGAAACCAAAGTTCTTCTATACATCCACAGAATGTAAATTTAAAGCACTTAGCAGAGTAGAAAGTGTGCTCTCTTTCAAAAGACTGGAGAGTTCAAGCCACTATGGAACATTGGCAAATACCCTCATTGGTTGCAGGTCAATGTTTGTGAGTTTGTGTTTAAAACCAACACATCACTGACCTCTAATATGAGAAAGATCTTACCAAGAATAGTATACTATAAAACACGATATAGATCAATACAGATCAAGTTAAAAAAGAAATCCTAATATTTAGGTCACTAGTTGAGTTTCAGAATTCAATGAAAACTACAGCAATACAAAATAGTAATAACAATATATAAAGTGGGTGGCACTTCTGGAACATATTAAGTACTTAATAAATTACAGCTTCATGACTATAATTAACATTTATATTTACTTAATAACTTAAAATTTTTCTCTAATGTCTCATTCAATCCTCAAAACAGTCTAAATTGGACAACTGAGTTTCAAAAAGATGTGGTTCAGCGTATCTATTTTAATATTTAGATCTTTAATCCATTTCGATTTTAGTTTAGTGCATGGTGAGAGAGATAGGTCCAGTTTTAATCTTTGGCAAGTTGAAGCCCAATTTTTTCAGCACCATTTATTAAAGAGGCTATCTTTCCTCCAGTGAGGGTGTTTGGCTCCTTTAT